GATCCAAGCCATGGTATTTTCAATAACCTTGTATGCATTTGAAAGTTGGACAGTTAATAAGGAAGACTCTAGAAGAATTGATGCATTTGAGTCATGGTATTGGAGGAGAATATTGAATGGACTGCCAAAAGAACAAACAGATCTTTGTTGAAGGAACTATAGCCAGAATGCTCTTTGGAGGCCAGAATGGCCAGATTTCATCTCTCAAACTTTGGACATATTATCAGGAGAGACAAGTCACTGAAGAAAGATATCATGTTTGGTAAGGTGGAGGGTCAGAGAAAAAGAGGAAGACCCCCAACAAAATGGATTGACACAGTGGCAGCAGCAATGGGCTTAGGCGTAGCAAAGATTGTGAGGTTGGCCCAGAACCAGGCAATGTTTTGTTCTATTGTGCATAGGGTCACTATCAATCGGTACCTACTCGATATCACCTAACAACAAAAACAATATAGCTTTTCTTCCCTAACTCTTTATTCTGGAGTCAAACATAGCTTAGGGTGGGCCAATTAAACCCCAAAATATATTCAATTTTACAAGATAAGCAACACCTCATAGAATCAAAACACTAAACTGGCATTAATGAGAGTTCCCTAGATTCCAAACAACAAAGAAGGGAGATTTGTTGGGCCTCCTGTTGGGACAACACATAACACAGAGGGATATAAAAGCCCTGACAGCCTAGAGCTCCTCACACACTCACACCCTTACTGGCTCACACCCTCCTCCCAGTGCACCTCTTCTCACCTCCACCATGACTGACACCTGCTACTCCGGGACCTGTGCTCCAGCTGCATCCACCACATCTGTCTGCTCCAGTGAAAGGAGCTACAGCAGCCATGTCTTCCTGCCCACTGACTACCCTCGCTCCTCCTGCGAGGTGGACGACTGCCCTGAGAGCTACTGCGAGCCGCCCTGCTGTGCTCCTACCTGCTGTGCCCCAGGCCCCTGCCTGAGCCTCATTTGCACCCCCATGAGCTGTGGGTCTAGCCCCTGCCAATTGGTCTGCACCAGTTCCTGTGGGCCCTCCTGCTGCCAGCAGTCTAGCTGCCAGTCTGCATGCTGTATGTCTTCTCCCTGCCAGCAGGCCTCCTGTGTACCCGTCTGCTGCAAGCCCGTCTGCTGTATGCCTATCTGTTATGGGACTGCCCCCTGTTCTGTCCCTAGGTGCTGGCAGCAGCCAAGCTGCCAGTTCTTGTGTTGTGGATTTCCCCCCTGCCGGCAGGCCTGCTGTGTGCCTATCTCTTGCAAGCCTATCTGTGTGCCCATGTGTTGTGGGGCCTCCCCCTGCTCATCCTCCTTGTACTGCCAACCTTCTCCCTGTGCCCCCTCCTGCTGCAAACCCTCCTCCTCCATGTCCCTCATCTGCCGCCCTGTGTGCAAACCTGTCTGCTGTGCCACTGCCTCCTCCTGCCGTGTCCCTGCCTCCTCTAGTATGTCTCTAGTCTGCCGTCCTGTGCGCCCCCGCCCAGCCTGCTGTGGCCTCCAACCCTCCAAGAAGACTCCATGTTAACTGGGTCAATCTTCTATTACTTGCAAGTGGATGTCTTTGCTCCTCCACTCTCAGGAGCCCTGAATTCCCCTCCACTGCCAATCATCCCAGAGCCTGAACCCCCACCAAAGTCTCCACCTCGATAAATGACTCCTCTCCATCCATGACTTCCTCTAGGGACAATTACTCGACCCCAGGAACCCTCTCTGCAGGATTGGTTGCTTGCATCGGATGTGTCAAAAGATCACTTGCTATAATCAATAAAATGTTTGTGGCTGGGAATATGGACCCATTCATGTTTTCTTCCTTTCCCCTGGCTCCTTTGACTACCTCAAATCTGTGCCATGATCACTGTCTGGGGGAGGCCAGATGACAAAGGTGGAGTATAAACTCTAAGTTCAAAGTACTTGAGAAACAAAGAGCTGTGCTAATAGGTTCTGTCCAAATGACCCCTGCATCCCTTCTCTATATCCAGTAACCCACCCTCCCAGACAACAGGTGTAATGGTATGGGTTCTGTATTAACTGGACTAGGCCAGGATTTTCAGAGGTTTAGCAGTGTGGGGT